TAGCAGTAGTAGCAGTAACAATCAGTACAGTATTATTTCACCCATTTGACCTGACAATCTATCCAATGTGCTCAGACATAGGTACCAAGAAACATTGTTACATTATATGCACTCATGTATAGTAACATTGGAAAAAGTGCACGCCCACAGTCCCCCGGACTCAAATACAACTAGGCGTGAGCATCGAAATGGACTCTAAAGAAGCACGAGAAATTAGTCGAACTGCGGGCAGGAAACACACCTGGGATCCGCAGAAACTCCTAGACAAAATACAGACTACATACCAAAAAGTCTTCAAAGCTGGGAAACACAGCTGGATCCCGCGGCAACTCTTGGAAGAAAATGAATGGCGGAGCCTGCTAGGACGTATCCTACGCATCAGTTCAGGCTTTCTTGCTGAGTGTTGACACGATCTGCCATGCATTGTGTTGTCTTTTGAAATAGTCGGGAGTGGGAGGTTGGGGGGATGTGCGGTCCGCTCTTTTTGTAAAACAGGGACGAAGATGAGAACATATACGTCCTCGCTCAGTTTTGATTGAATTTGCCAGGCATTATTGTGCAAAGGCAGCCGGAGGGTTGAGGGGCGCAACAGGGCGCAGTCCCATCTGCAAAACATGCAAGGATTTCAAAAACACCGTATTTATTCTTGGCCTGTTAGCACCGACCCAATTGAACCCACCCAATTGAAAAAACATGTATGATGTCTTGCTTGGTTTCATGTAATTGTGGTTTTGAACCTGCCAGGCATTATCGTTGCCAGCAAGATGCGTCCAGGGTGTGTAGCCCCCCCCCGTTTTGCAAAACATTCACAAGAATGAGAAGAGGTTTTTGCTGGGTCTTGAGAGGATTTGCCAGAGGAGAATAGCGGGGCGGAATGGCTCCCCGAGTCAACATGGGCCAAAATGAAAACGTGATTTTCCTTGCTGCGTTCTTACAGAATTTGCTCAGAATTGCCTTGCAACCTCCCCCTCCTGCAAAGCAAGGAGGGAAGTAACAACACGTAGGTTCTGGTCTGTTTGGATGAGAATGGCCAGGTATTGTGTTTGCTCAGAGACAATGGGCTTTGGGGTGGTGTCTTTTCCCAACTTCTCCTGAGGCAAACATGATAATGCAAGGCGAGGCTCTAGTAACAATCACAGCTCTGATCCGATGCTCAAGTTCTGATATGCTTGATTATGCTTGGACAACACGGAACCTAGAATTACTTTTGCAAAAGTCTTAAGTTATCAATTGTCGTTGGCGTCCATACATACTTATTGCTTCTCTTTGTGTTTAACTGTGTTTCTTTCATTGGTTGTTTGTGGATTTCATAATTTCCGCTAATCTATCTCATTTGTCTTCAGTCTAACTTCTATGATTTGTCATTGATGTGTTCCTCTTCTGCCTTCGCTTGTCTGGTTTCTTGATTTGTGGTTTCCTTCTTTGTTTCTTCGTTCAGTCTTGTCTTCTTCACGTCCTTATGCCTTGATTTGTGCTTTTCCTTGCTTCTGTCCTCCTTCTTTCGTTGGTCCCGTCCCTATTTCTTTCTGTTCTTTGAGGCCTTCTTGTGGTTTGTCACCTTCTGGTGTTTTTTTTTGTGTTTCTATCTTTTGTTGTTCTTTCCTTCTTTCTTTCTTCTTCTTCTCTTCTCACTGCTATACCCTCCCTTGCGGGAGGGCTGGAGCAACGCTCCAAGCAGGCGCTGTCCCGGGTCCCAATCACTGCTCCAGGTCCCGGTAACGACCACACACAGCACCACGATGACAAAGGACATACTTAATCAGCCCCGATCCGATAACGTCCTTCTCTGTTTTCCGAAAACGGGAGGGCGTCCCAACGCAAAAGCTTGAGCTTCAGAATTGTGTTTCCTTGAATTCTATTGCTCGTGGTTTGTTTCTGCTGTTATGTCTGTCTTCCTTTCTTTCTGGCCTTCTTTTGCTCCTTAAAGTTTTGTCTCTTCGGTCTTTCTTTCTGCCTTCCTGTCTTCTTCTCTCGGCTACATAATGGCGGATCCTGGCAGCCCCCCCGGGCACAGCCTCGAGTGGCACACAAGTCCGTTGCGTCCAATGGTCCCACCCAGGAGGGACGAAGTACTGTCTTCTACGAATGCCACATTCACCAGCTAAGGACCAGTTATCATTCCCAAGTCATGTGGCCTTCCTTTGGAATTCCTGCCTGTTCAACTGGGGTGTGAGAAGGACATGCGTACCCAGTACCTCTTTCCCTCAGCCGCCATTACAAAATGCTGTAAGTTGGAAATCAGAACATCCTCAAAGACTCACCCGATGCCTTCGTTTCTTTCCTTCCTTTTTCGTTTGCCTTTTTGTGCTCCTTCTTCTTTATTTGACAGCTCCATTTGGAACGAAAAATGCAAGGAGGTCTGGCAGGAGAGCTCGAATGCTGTATGTTTGGAATCCTATTTGTTCTTGTTGATGTGTATTTGTTTTTGTTCAGAGGCCTTTCCAGTCAAATGTTGCCACCCTCCGCGCTCATGTTGTGCCGAGAGACGTAAAGCTGCTCTTGCAGCTTGGACGGTGCAGCCACGTCGATGGCCAAACGCCTGCTCTTGTGACTCTCAGAACAAAGCCGAGAAGACTCGCCACGTTCGCAGCTTCGGCAAGAATTCGTCTAGTTGAGGTGATTTCGAGGTCTGCCAAGATGCATAAAAAAGTCCATGATGGTGTCGTTGAGCCACTGCTCATCCTCCAAAGGTTCTCTTCTCTCTCCAAAACTGGCTACCGTCCAACTGCTTAAGCCAGCCTCCAACAGATCCAGGTCCCGTTCCTCATGCAATCTACAATTACAAGCCAAGAAAGGGGCTTATAAGTGTCGGTAGCCGTTCCACGAAACGCAGACACATGCCAATGCTGGCAAAATGCTTCGAGGACTGTTCCTTGGTAACGGAGAGAAAATGACCTTGGCTGGATGCAGCATTCGGCAGCCGCAACGTCCATACATGTCCATGCGCTCCAAAACTTACTTCACCTTCCAAGTCCGCGGCTCAACTGCTGGTCGAGGCGAAAGTCCCAGCGAACGCGGCCCACGCCTGAGCTCAACGCAACTGGAAACTAGCACGCACTGGGCGCAATAATCCTGCTGGCAGTTTAGCCACACAGTGAGATGCCGCAGCCAGGTCATCAGCGTTGCCAGTACAGGTCTCAGCTCCTATTCGCTCACACTCGACACCGGGAAGCGAAGGTTGCCAAAGTCCGAGGCTCCTCCATATAAGGCGAGAGCGTGAGCGTGGCAATTCGGTGACCTTCCGCCATAAAGTCCACCTCAGCCACAAGGATTTCAGCGAAAAGCTTTCGGGCTCAGAGGAAGTCAAGACAGGCTCAGCGCAGGGCTGCAAAGCCAGTTGGAGCCAACGGTGGTGATAAGGATAGTATCACCTGGGTGCAAGAACTCATGCTCAGGAGCACTTTCCGCACCTGCACGTCATGTCGGCGGTATCCTTGTAGCAACGCTCCCGCCTTTCAAAATAATGCCGAGCAACAAACTGGCCATCAGCTTTGACGTCCACGTCACTGACCCCAGAGAGAGGAACAATCAGCTCATCCTCTTCCTCCTCCTCCTCTTGCTCCTCTTCAGCTCAGACAGCTCCTACAAACTTCTGGAAAACCTGAACCACATGGCAAGGCGACAAGGCCAGGACCATGTCCTCATCGAAGAGACATCGCAGAAAAAGTGAATCATCCTTCACATTCAGTCAGCTCAAGTGAGGCTGCATATCTAAGAACAATTACACCTTTTCGGTTCATTGCGAACTATATACGTTCTTTTACGCATCGTTCGACAGAGTTGTGGGCGTTATCGTCTGGTTTTCCTTGTGATTGTTGGGCTCATGGCAACATCCGGACGAGTGCTGGGGCTGAATTCTTTCCAAGGTCTTTATTATACTGCTCCAGTTGTACAACTACTCCCATTGTCGCGGCACTCCTGCAGCCAAAGCTGTGCATCACCAACCGCCTGCGGCGCCACAAGGCCACGGCTTGGAGGCAGCGTCAGCCTCAGCATAGCGGGCATGCACACGCACACGTGTAGGATTTGGCTAAGTTCCAATGTGGTGGGCTTTTGGGGAGGGGAATCTCAAGCGCGTCCGCCTGCTTTGCAACCCCGTATTAGCTGCTATGTACGCTGGACGAGCAAATGCACTACCAGCAACGCTCCGTACACATTTGCTTCCATGGCTGAAAACTTGTCTGAGAGTGATGCCCACAGACAATGCTTTCTCGAGGTGGCTCGGCCTTGTCACGGTCTTGTCACAGCTTTGGCGCATGCATCGTGAACATATGAGGAACCATGAGAAACCTGAGAGCGGTGCCACCAAAGCTGCAGCGGCCGCAGCTGCCGAGGCCTGGAGTACAAGCGCTTTGCAGCCCATGGTTAAACGTGGGGTGGTCACATGTAACACAAGCAACCATCTGTTCCAGCTCTGTTCCAGTTTCTCAAGCTTCAGCCAGTGATGTCTCAATTTTGATGATACCATCAGCAAGTAGTTAGGCAATATCGAGCTGGCAGACTGCAGGCGAACCTCAGCCTCTGCACACTTCGAGTGCTCACCCTCCTCCTCGGAGTCGATTGCAATAATGTGTCCATTCGGCTCGTCCATCCCAAACGGGAGCGTAAATTGAAGTTGTGACTCAGCAATCTGGATTTTTCGACGGCTGTCCACTACACACATGCTGATGCGGGTCGTGCTGCCCACTAAATGTGCTGTGTGGTTGCTCTGTAAGGACGACAAGGCATGGCTCAAATACACACACACACACACATCTTTCGAGTGGAGTTCCTACCCCCGTATGGGCATGCTGGGTTTGACCCAAAAAGAAGCTGAAGGCTGCGTAAGACAAACATCTTGCGCGCAGCCATAATTCACGAGCACACATGCATGCACCAGAACTTACAAGTCTAGAAACCATTGTCAAAAAAGCACTGATGACTGATCACTGCCAATCCGAACATCTGGGCTGGCAGACTTCTCCTCCTGCAACAGCAGCATGCGGGCACTCTCTGGAATTTCCACCTAAGCACTGGTGGCAACGGTGGCGTGCGGAGGAGTGCTGGGCCACTGGAAACAAAATAGCTGCGCTCAGTTCTCAACATGGCCCATGCGGTCCAAGCATTTGGTCCTGACGTCACATCAGCTAGCTTACTGCCCGCCACCTTGCCATTCTTCCAATGGAGCTGAGGTCTCCACTCGCGAATTAGCTGCAGTATTTCCGAGTCAAAGTTGACGTGATACTTCTGATCCTGTCAAAGTCAAGGTAGTAGTAGTAGTAGTAGTACTACTACTACTACGACGACGACGACCACCACCACCACCACCAGCGCTGCCACCCGCCGCCGCCACCACCAATTCACCATCACCTCCCTCCCCCACCCTCACCGCACCCCCCACCGGCCGAGCCTACCGCAAACCCTCAAAGTCCGAACTCGAGCATCCTGGACCCGGTTGCTCGACAACAGACTGAAGGACGGGCGCTTCACGGACCAAACTCCCAAGCAGATTCTTCATCATAGCCATTATTATGAATCATGAAACCAGACTCATCGTGAAAATGCGCCGACACCAGTTTCAGGAACGAAGTGTGAATGTTGGACATGTCGCCTTTGCAGACATGTGGCCAGAGTTGGGGGGGATTTGTAGGAGAACGGACCCCGAACTGACGCGGCGGTATCGCCAATGTATTGCGATACTATCGCGGATTTCCTGAGCCAACTGCTTGTTGGAGGAGTGCACCTCATTCAACTACTGAAGAACACCTGTCAGCTCACCATGAAGAGCCAAGCAATAGTGGAATACCAGCTGTTGCGACCACTATCGCAAAGAGATTTCTCATGATTCATGGTCGCGACTTGAACGTTTGGTTTTTTCCCCTTCCGGGAGGTCTTAGGGCCTGCAATCGAAGGACACCTCGCTCCATGCGGAGCTCGGTTTTGAGACAGAATGCGAGGCCGCTCACACAGAGCTCGATTTTCCTGCAAGGCGTGAGCAACAATAGCAAGAATACTAATA